TCCTGCCTACAGCCCACACTTGAGAGACTGATGAAGGAAGGCCTTGAGTTCAGGCCAACGTGGGGCTACATAGTGAATTCCAGACCAGCTCGAGTTGTGTGAGTCTCCTTATCAAAACCACAAACAGCCAGGTATGTGGTGTATGCCTTTAAAGCCGGCACTGTGGAGGCAGAGTTAGATGGAAGTCTGAGTCCAAGGCTAGCCTCGTCTACATAGTGAGTTCCAGGACAGCCAAGGCTATGTTTTTAAAATGAAAAATAAATAAGACTAGTGCATAGGTTGAAACAATTCTGCAACATGAATTAAGGCATGAAAGAGCACAAGCAAAAGAGAAATGGGTAAAAATGGAGAGGAAGGCAAGGAAAACTGGGAAGCAGGAGTTAGAGGTGAGAAGAGAGCACGTAGGAAGAAAAGGGAAGAGACGGGCACGCACTACACCGCACAGCACGCGCCACAGTGCACAGCACGCACCACAGTGCACAGCACGCGCCACAGTGCACAGTACGCGCCACAGTGCACAGCACGCGATACACCGCACAGCACGCGCCACACCGCACAGCAGTGTGTATGGGGCGTGATCTTGCATCTCCTAACAAGCCTACAAAGGGATAACTCAGAATTATCAACACAGAAAACAATGGTTTGTTCTGCTGTAAGAACTGCAAAGGTGCACAGCGGGAAAGCTCCTGATGATTAACAAGAAGCTAATCACACAACACTGGAGGCAAATCATGGAGACAAAGAGGGAAAGACAGCATCACTCTGATACAGGGAGCTGACATGTGGGCACCAGAGCCCCCATCAAATATTAATATATGATCAATATTTGCTGAACACCACAGGACCAGACAGAAAGAAAGCAACACATGGGTTGGAGAGACGGCTCCCCAGCTAAGAGCGCTGGCTGCCCTGCAGAAGAAATGGGTTCAGTTCCCAGCAAACACATAGCAGCTCAGAGGCGTCTGTGACTCCACTGCCAAGGGTTCTGATGCCCTCTTCTGACCTCTGTGGACACCAGGCACACTCATGGTACACAGACATACATGTAGGTAAAGCAGTCATACATATAAAATTAACATAAATAGCCTCTTTTTTTAAATACGGATCAGCATCTCAGAAACAGAAGGGATGCGTACCACAAGGACTGACATCCACAGCCTCGCCAGCAACCTCAGGTCCACATTCTAATCCAGCAAATGGCAGGTGCTACCGGAGGAGACGTGAGCCAGCCAGCTCCCCCAGGTCACTAACAGGGTATCATACAGGCTGGGAGGAGGCAGCAGGTTCCCCAGGTCACTGACGTGGACAGGCTGGTACCGGTGGGAGAGGGGAAGGACACACGGGTGCACCGTTTTGTCCTCCTACCTCCAACTCTGAAAAAAGTTTTTTAAAAAATCATAGGAGGGGGCTGGAGAGATGGCTCAGAGGTTAAGAGCACCGACTGCTCTTCCAGAGGTCCTGAGTTCAATTCCCAGCAACCACATGGTGGCTCACAACCATCCGTTATGAGATCTGGTGCCCTCTTCTGGTGTGCAGATATACACGGAAGCAGAATGTTGTATGATAAATAAATAAATAAATAAATAAATAAATAAATAAATAAAATCATAGGAGGAGATGATCTGTCCCCTGGCATACTCAGCACCAGCAGAGGCAAACAACAAAGCAATCTAGGGTCAAGCGACAGGGAGACAGTTGAGTGGCTTACAGTGTATGCAGAGTAACCTGAAAATATCAGGATAACTGAGAATAACACTTCCCAACTGGATTGAATAAAAAAAAAAAAAATGATGTTCGTAATCAAAAACATAAATCATGTACATGGTGAATTTTGAATTGTTAATCAATAGGTACAAACACAATAATTTTGTCTATAAAATGGTATAGTCTGGAGGCACCAGGAATCTGTAAACTTCCCATGTGCTGTAGGTATTAAAGATAAATGAGATCATGACTTAGCTATTCAATTAGTAATAAACTAAGTCCTTTTGGTAACTGTGGGGATTTTCTGCTTCTGTAGGTTTAAAAATGTCTCTCACATACCGAATGAAGTTCATTAGGCATAATTGCTTGTATGAAATTTTACTGAGAATGAATAGAAAAGGTTGACAGGAAGTGTGGACGTCATGACTACAACAATCCAGTTCTAACAATGATTTGTTACAATTTTAGAACGAGACAGATCTGGCTTCAAACCCAAACTGTCAACTCAAGAAAGCATCCAGTACCTTCTGAGTGGAGATCTAAATAATTTACAGAGAACACAGAACCCTGCACAGACCGGGAGCCTGCGACACAGGGGCTGCCCCTGGCAATCAAAACCACAAGGCACAGTGGCCTCCCTGCAAATGCAGAGACCTGGCAGCTGGCGTGTAGGCCACATGCTGCTCCTGTTCCTCATATTTAACACTGACTGTGGTATTACAGTTTGGGATGAAGACACATCTTTACCCAATATGGTAGGTTTTTGCTTCACCCATCCACAGCATCCCTCCACTGCCATTCTTCTGACAAGAAGCTCAGAAGGTGCCTATCTGGTCCAGCTTTGGCTAAGACACTAAACCTTCAAAGATTCTCTTCTAGCTGGGCAGTGGTGGTGCACACATTTACTCTCAGGAGACAAAGGCAAGCTGCCTGGTTCAAAGCCATCCTGGTCTACAGAGAGAGTTCCAGGACAGTCAGGGCTACACAGAGAAACCCTGCCTCAGGTAAAAAGAAGAAGAGGAGGGGGAGGGGAGGAGGAAAAGGAGGAGAAGGAAGGAAGGAAGGAAGGAAGGAAGGAAGGAAGGAAGGAGAAACAGAGGAAAAACTAAGGAAGAAAACAGGTATTTCTAACCATGCATCCAATTCTCTCTTTCTCTCTGCAGCTTGAACTTCTCTGGTTCTAGGTACTTCCTGGGAGGAGAGGAAAGAAGTGGACACTAACAAGCAGCTCCAATGTCCTTCCTGGTGCCAGCATGCACTTGTTGTCCCAGCATAACCGGTACCCCTCTTGCCCTCTAGGTTTAAGCAAGCATAACAGAGCTCCAGCCCTCGAATACCTGAAGTCTACACATGACTTATTTGACCAGGTGAAAATGCTCGCTTTCTCCATCTGGTCTTCCTGTGACAGAACTCTGAAGGTCTTCACCAGCCTGATCACTTCTGCAACAAAATGGGCGCCTGTTTGTCTATACTCTAAGAGTCCAACTGCTCCAACTCCCTATTGCATAAAGGGTTTAACAATCCCAACTAAGAAACAGAAGATCACTTCCTTCCATTGGAACACTAAGCCAACAAACAGCCATGGCTATAAGGAGATACGCATTGTAGAATGGCTCTAGGGAGCAGCCCCACGTTACACCAGTAGGTGTCGCTCTGTGACATGTTTTAAATTCTTCACTTCACTCATTCAGCATCTGCTTTGAGGGCCTATGGTGTGCTAGACATAATTCTAGGCACAGGGAACACGGTGAGAAGTAAAACAGCACAGCACTGTGCTCGTGAGCTCCGCAGTGTAGACACTAACAAGAACACTGTTTCATTTGCTCTCTGGATAAAGGTTTACAAACTTTATTTCCTAATGAGGTTTAATACAAAACTGAACTTGCTAAGTTAATAAACAACTTAAGATAATTCACAATAGCAGACACTAAAATGAGACAGAATCAGAGAAACTGCTGGCCCAGATCAGCCCTGTCGTACTCTGTGTTTTCTAGGCCTGAATTTATTCAACACCTCTCTCCCAAATCCCAAGTTTCTAAAACTCAAATTTAAGGTATTCCTCAGTACAACAGAAATGAATTTACCTTGAACAATCCAAACTTTAAGATCTGCCTGCTTGTATTTCACCAGCAGTTATGATGTTATGAACTAAGACTACCTGAAGAGGTGACTGGTTCCCAGACACAGAGCTCAAGAAAACAGCACCTGCCTGAGAGACGCGGGCTGATAGAGACAGACAGCGGTGGTCTGCCTCTGTGGGGCTCCCGGAACTTCCAGAACTTCGTGTGACTTGAGGCTCACAGCACAAACAACAGTCTCACAGAGTCATAAGAAACAAGTCTGACAGGAATGAGACGGCGTGTCTGTACCAAAGTCCCAGCACCTGAATCCACCCAGTTACTGTCTGGTTCAGTCTACTCTCAAACAGAACGCTCCCCATAATGCAAAGGCCACAGGAAGTCACAGAATATTACACTGAAACAACTCCAAAGGCCCTACTGCATAGACTTCTTCAGGTTCAGACTTCATCTGTGCTGCTTTATCTGAGACAATGAAGCTTACTTGGTGCAGGTTATGACTTGATGCTCTTTCTGGAACCCTTCAAACTGTGAGCACTTGCCCAGGCTGCACCGCAGATCGCTCGAGTGCAACAAGGACCCATAAGAGCACTGCCGAAGCCAAGTGGCATCCGATGAACCAAAACGAACAACACTAAGGTTTTTCAGAAACAATGACGAGTGGTCAAGGAGGGGTCCAGACTCGTTTGTGTCAACATTAAGTGGCATTTTCTTTAATGTTATAACGGTAGAACGATCTAGTATTTCCAAATTGACAGGCTCAGTGTTGATAAACATTTGACATGATTGACACATCACCTAGCTTTGTGTGCATGCATGATATGGGGTGGACACATAGTAGGTGCTCATAAACGACAGCTACCAGGAATTCCATCTTTCTTTATGACCGTTAAAATGATTGTTTAACAGCTTCAGACTCACAAATGTAAGCGGCACAAACTGCAGCATCCGACCACCACACCTTGGAAAAGTAAAGTCCCCTTACTCAAGTGAATGCCAACAAATACACACCTTCTCCTTGGCACAGCGTGCTCCACATGACCTTATGCGAGTGGCCGGGGTTTCAGCTCCCCCTGCTGCTCTGTTATTTTACAGTGCGGATGCATTTGAGTCATTTCCCCTTTTGTTTCATATCCTTAAGATCCACAGCTTCAAAGGCAGAATGTCAGCATGCAGTCCATTTATGACTGAACTCTTGAAGAGACACTGAAGAATTACCTTGTCAATCACCCCAAGGACTCTGAAGGCCTTCAGCTCCTCGGCGGGGCTCCTTAGGTTCCAAGGGGGCCTTGAACCTAGTGGTCCTGGAGGCTAATAGGAGATATCAAAGATTACACATCAATCGGGGAGGCACTTGAAGGAAGACTGCCTACTGAAGCAAACGTCAGGCCAAAGGAAACTAAATTTATCATAAATCAGAGAAGGGAAGATAAAAGGAGAAAGTTGCTGTTTGTCTGTAATGTAAAATAAAAAAAATCAAAATAAAGAAAATCAAAACAAAAAAGCAAGACAAAAGCCCAAGTAAATAAGTCACAGCACTGAAAACAGGTTTTTAAAAGGAAAAGTTAATGAGCAGATACTGTTTTTAGAGCTAGCATGAAAATATCTATCCAGTAAGTGGGCAGAGTCAGCTACAACCTTGAGTTAACCCCACACAGACCAAAAGTAATTTAGATGAAGGAAACAAAGAAAAAAAAGTAATTAACAGATTCACTTGGAACAGAAGGGCATAAGGCATCCTCTTGCCTTGAAACTATACTCCTTTAGTGTTTCTTTGCAACATAAAGTAAGCACTTAGATCCTTAAATACCATGTCTTAAGAAGATTAGGCACATTTGAGTTCAACCAGAAAAATCACCAAACAATGGCGAAAAAAATAAACACCCCATCAATATAACCAGTAATTATTAGAACAAAGGTTGGGATGATTTACGAGAAAAAGAACTTTTCTTCAAATATTTGAGTATCTGTGCTGTGGGAAACAGTCTATTAGCCACAGAAGAGATCAGTAAGCCTGAGAAAAGGCTGCTTGAGTGTGACAGTTACAAACAGTATTAACTCCAGACTCCAGTTAGCTCCCCCGCACACACACACACACCCCTGCAGGAAACTAAGCCATTAGAAGAGAAACACTCATGACACCTCCAGTTGGCACTTTGTCCAGAAAGGACTTCTGTAATTACTCCTCACAGTAAAATGTCGGGGGACATAAAGCCTGTTACACGGGACAGAAGGCCTTTCAACAAACTAGATTAGACCAGAGAGGGAACGGCAAACCACTCAGCATTCTAAGGGAATTACCGAGATGCAGCTTGGGACACTTATGCCCCTGTGCAGATGAGCACATCCAGACAGAGCTCCTGGGAAGAAGAACTGCACCCCGATCACCCTCATTTGTTTTGTTTTGTTTTGTTTTGTTTGGGGGTAGTGGGGTCTGTAGCAGCAGCTGAGGTGGTGGCTGAGCAAACACAGAGGAAAAGAGAGGAGGAAGCAGAGGGAAGCCAGCAAGGAGGGTGCCTGAGGTCACTGGGGGCAGTTTTAATGGGGAAACTGTCCAAAAAAAGCATTCTTATCACCTCCAACTTGTTTCCTTGTCCTGGGTGTACAGAGCAAAGGTTGAATCCAGACCATCTGGGATGGCCGATGCTGGAGGACGGGTGAGGTATCTGGTTTGGTTTAGATTTTGTAGACAGGGGCTCATGCAGCACAGGCTGGCTGGCCTTGAGTTTGCTTTGTATCCAAGGTTGATCTCGAACCCTGGGTCCTCATGCCTCTACCTCCCACATGTTGGGATTACAGAGGTGCACTACATCTGGCTAAGGCTGTGTGTGTGTGTGTGTGTGTGTGTGTGTGTGTGTGTGTGTGTGTACATGCATGTGGAGGCCAGAGGCCAACACTGGATGCCTTCTTCGGTCTCTCTCCATCTTACTCTAGGGGGTGGGGTCTGTCACTAAACCTGGAGCTCAGTGAATGGCTTTATGGATCCTGGTGTCTCGTCCTCGAGTCCCCTGTGCTAGGGTTACAGGCATACAGTGCCATACTCAATTCTTTATGTGGGTGTTGGGATCCAGAGTCCTCATGCTTTACCGACAGAGGCATCCTTAACCTCAGCTTGTATGTTTTAGAGATAACTCGACTTGAGAAAGTATCTCAATTGTACTGGACAATAATAATCTTTTCCAAATGACAAGATCTGGACCTCTTAGATGCCTCAACAAATGTTATTTGATACCCCACATCATTAGGAACTAAAGTAGATGTCAGAAAATGGATGCATTGCTGCCTCCTTAAGAGTTTAAAATCTAGGAGAATGCATGTTTATGCACACAAATGTATATCATGGTATTAGTGTTCCATGTGGGCACTATTATAGGAAGTCTCTTCCTATATGTGATTTATGCTGTATGACTTCATCTTTACCCCAACCCCAACCCCCACTGTGTGGTACTCATAAGAAGCGCTCTAAAAATACCCATTTCACTCCTGAGTAAAGGGAAACTTGGGATAGGGAATTGCTTCCCTCACAAAGAGAGACAGTGGCATCCTAGACAGACCTCAGCTCCCCACCTTACCGCTGGCAATCTTTCTACTCCACAGCACACAGATAAAAAACGTGCACACGTGCACACGTGCACACATGCAGACATGCAGACACTCCCTGCTGCATTACCAAGAAAATGGAAGACCTGGGCACACACCTGGGCCCACGCCCATGAGGACATGGAGAGTGCACTTGGACTTCATGGGCCATAAAGGAGGACACAAAATTGGAAGAGGGTGGGAATGAAAGTGGGGAGTGGATCTGGGAGAAGTGAGGAATGAATATATTGTACACACATATGAAATACTCAAAAATAAACACTTGTTCTTAAAAGCCTTTTCTTTTTTTTATGTAGCAGCATGTAAACCATGTGTAACTCCACAGACCTATGCCTGTCTATGGGCAGCAAAAGGAAAGGAAATCCACACAATTTAAGAGAAGGAGGCTGCAGGGATGAAATCCACACCCCAGGTCCTCTTCTCTCTCTAACAGAGGAAGCTGCGAAGCAATGCAGTCAAGCGTCTAGGATGACAAAGGCTAGTAACCCAAGAGAGGAACAACCTACAATTGTATCCAGGGAGGTAGTGCACGCCTGTAATCCCAGCACCCAGGGTGTTGACACAGGAGGATTACCAAGAAGATGAGGCCAACCAGGGCTACACAAGACACCCTGTCCTTACATGAATGAAATAATAAACTCATTACCAGCAGTGCTAACAGCAGCACTGTGTCCAAGGAGCAGGGAATGACTTCCTAGGTGACATAGCTGATGACCTGTGATGTAAAAAGAGTGCTTCTCTTATAGGTAAGGGCTACTGTAGCAGATGATGTCAAAAAAGAATGGTTAGGTTCATCTACACCAGGACTAAGCACAGACAAGAGAGGTGAGACAGGAAGGTTTAAGACAGAGACGGCAAGATCTGCTCAACTGGACAAGGCCTAGACAGCTGGGATGCAGAGCTCCCTGTAGCACTCTCCACAGCCAGTACCTGTACTTAGCACACAGTAAAGTTCTGCTTGCTCTTTCTGTCCTCTAAAAGGCTAAGTGAAGACTGCCTGGTTTCTCCTTAGAGTTCTGTGTTTTGTTAAGTTGCCAGTTGAGCTACCCAGGTCTCTTATTCAGTGTTCTCTCTGTGCAATGTCCACCCACACACCTGCAGGAGCAGCGTTCCTCTACAACAGTGTTTATGTGCCCTGTCTGAGGACCTTCCAAAGGGAAAAGCCAGGTGTAGGAGGGCACCTAAGACTCTGTACGTCCCACAGGCTCCCTGATGCTGGCTCACCAGCCCCACTCAGAACACCAGCGCAGCAGACATCAGTATTGGGGAAAGACACTAACAAACAAGAGGAAAGAAAGGGTGTCAAGAATCCAGACTCTGAGGGCATCAGTGGATACTTATAACCCTGCAGTAGGGAGAACTGGAGGCCAGCAGGGAAGGACTCTGCCTTAGATAGACACACACAGAGAGAGAGAGAGAGAGAGAGAGAGAGAGAGAGAGAGAGAGAGATGTCCAGTCAATCAATCAATCAATCAATCAATGCCTGAGCTTGGAACTTCAACATGCAGGACACGGGGTCCCTGAACACAGCTCTTCTGCAGAGCTCTAGCTTTTCAAAGACTTCTTGAGCAAATGACTAGTTCAGCCTCTTTCCCTTAGATGGCTGGCATACCTGACACCTAACCACCTGTTACTGAGTCCCATACCCTACAGCCACCTCTCGCTGAGTTTCAGTATCTTCCAATGACACCTGGCGGGTAAGCCAACAGCATCAGCAAACACAGATGCACCATCGATGCCATCCTCACGGTTGGCATCAGAATCTGCAGGACCTCAGAACACTGTACATCACCGCACATGGTGACATTCACTCGCCCTAGTAACTGCAGGGCAAAATGGATTTACATGTTCTATGTTCTCCATTTAGATAATTTACTATCCCTTTTCTAAATGTAATTGATTTTACATTTTTCTTTAGGCAAAAATGCTATTTTAAATCTTTCACAATTTGGAAAAGCAAAAATAAAAGCAACCTGCCTCCTTCAGTCAAGATTCTATCTTTATCAGAAACCTACCTCCCCAGTTTTCTAGGAGCTTTCAGGTATGAGGGAAAAAGCTGGGAGAGTATTCTACTGGTTTCTTTTCCAACATTTGTTTGCAAAGGATATAATTACAAATAATGGGAAGTTTAGATTTTCTACATTTACCACCTAAGAGGCGCCGAGGCTTCCAAGTTAAATAAAATGAAGAAAATGCCTGGGCAGAGAGAGGGAGCAGCCACTGCCCCCAGAGAAGAAGAGGGAGACCCCAGAGAAGAAGATGGAGACCAACAATGTTAAAGCCCCCAAAGGAATCCTTTTTCTACTGAAGCAGCTACAAGGAGATGTTTGCACCAGAGAAGTTACCTCTCCTTTGCACCACACTGAGAAAAGGGCAGAATCACTCACACCAATCCTCATCATGTCCACTGAAATTCAGACCCAAAGACAGTTAAAGGAGAGAAACAACAGGTTCGCCTGGCTGATCTTAAGAAAATCTCAAGCCTGCTCCTAAGCAGTGTGGAGGCAGACTTCACAGAAAACACACAGGTGGGAAATGAAAGGCAAATATTTACAATAAAGAAAGATACCATGTCTACTCTCTCTTCCAGCTGCCCTCATCCAGAAACAAACACAAATTCCCTACGAGATCAGAATCAGTGGTTGCCACTTTTGCCCTTCGGGAACAATTCCCCACTCTTGTGTCAGTTCTACAGAGCTGTGCTCAGTCATGCTGTAAGGTTTGCAAGAAGAGAGCTATGCCATGCTCTGTGCAGGTCCCACGTGTGTCTGCAGGGTTGCTACATACCAAGTCTTAAAAGACGGTTAATGAATGAGTAGCCTCAAGTTATTCTTAAAGTGAGGCTCTAACTCATCTACATAGTGGTTGATTATCCAAATCCAGAGCTACCCAGGAGGACTTGTGTTTATTTGCTGTGACTGCAAGTATGCACATGCATGGACAGCATGTCACAAACCATTGCAGTCAGGGTGGGCTAACAAAGTAAACCTTAGAAAAGCAGGTAGGACACTGACCAGAGATGCACAGGAGGGATAGAAGGTAGCATTGGTGACGTTCAGAATGACTACTGGGGCATCCTTAGGACACTACAGCCGTACAGGATGGAGTCAGTACAGCAACTATGTTACTTGATATTTCCATCACTGTTCCTAAAGCAAAATGGAGAAGGAAGACACTTGCTTTGTGGGGCACAGAAGCTCTGCATCCATAGTTAGGAATAGTCATAGCAACTGCCCAAAAGGAGCATGACCACCCTCATTTTCCAGATGCAGAAACAGACACTAGGTGTGTCTGTGCCAAAGCATGTGCAGAACCCACAAGATGGCTCAGTGGGTAAAGGACTTGCCACCAAGTCTACAGCCTGAATTTAATCCCTGAGACCAACACGGGGAGAATCAATCCCACTATATGTGTGCACATATGTGTGCACACAGAAACTCTAACACACTAAAAACTACAATTTTTAAAGAATTTTTGTTGTGTCTTTCATGGCTTCAAGTCACAGAATATACCAAGACTACCTGCCCCTTGGATCAATTAAGGAAATAAACTAAACACTTTTTCCCATTTACAGAAAACCTTAGTAAGAATTTAAAATAAAAAAGCTACTTCCAGAAACTGGCCAAACCCAGATAGACCTGACATAAAAGCAATAAATAATAGTGTTTCTAAAACTTTATGCCATGCAGACAGGGTTGGGGCAGTCCCAAATAGCCCAAAACACCCCTACATTATTGTGCCTCAGCAGCTACAGGCAGCCTCACAGCAGATCCTTACAGGACAGTTTCAACATAACTGATACAGCAGCTCAGGGTGCATGAGAGCTGTGACTTCACAAGCTCGGGGTGCAGGAGAGCTGTGACTTCACAAGCTCGGGGTGCAGGAGAACTGTGACTTCACAAGCTCGGGGTGCAGGAGAGCTGTGACTTCTGAAGTTCAAGAGCAGGGGTGTGGGCAATAAGCATGGCATCTTACACGATGGTGAGATTAGGACAATGCACGTGTGATGCTTTATCCGCACTGTCAATCATACTTGGAATCACCTAGGAGACACACTGCTGGGGCATCTATGAAGATGCTTCCAGAGAGGTTTGAAGGAAGAGGGAGAGCCCACCCTGAATGTGGGCAGCACCACACATTCAGGAAAAGAGGAAAAGATGCAAGCCCACAGAGGCCGCACTCACCCCTCTGCTTCCTGCTCCTCGTAGATGTGAGCAAGCTCTGAGCTGCTTCTGCCTCCATGCCCCTCCCTGCCATGACCGCCTAGACAGCCAGAATCAATCTTCCTTCCTTAAACTCTTGTCCTCACCTGCCCAGGGTAGAGACAACGTGTGGAAGGCTAAGGGTGAGAAGCAAGCCCTCTTACTCTATTCTCATGGCTTCCCTTCTGACAACTTAAGAAAATTACAGAAAAGTTCTGACAACCAAACTACTCAAATATTCTAGTTATAAATAAAGCTGAAAGGTAGAGAGAAAAAAGCAAAGAACATAAAGAGAAGGCCCTGGCATACCTGCAGTCCAGCGTCGAGCTGAGGTGAGGCCCGGAGGCTGGAGATGCTCTCTGCACGCATGAGGTACTCAGCTGTCCTTCTCTTCACAGCCTCCCGTCGTGTGGGGCTTGACTCTCCTGAGAGGACAAAGCACAAGTCTGGCCTTGTGAGAGGGAAACAGGCACTTTTTGCCACATCTAGTAATTTACTTCTTTTTACCCACTCCAAGGCTTCTTAATATCTGTAACTTTGGAGTCAAACTTAGAAATGGTTTCAACCTTACCCCTCAAGGGTCTCATTTGCCCAAAGCTGACAGACGGCTATCTAAACGTGTACTGAAACTCAGCACATTAGGGAGAGCCAGGTATACATGAAACTGTACAAAGTTCTGAGGGTGAGAAGGGAACCCCAGTTCAGGCAGTACTGAATTTCCTGCTCAAAACTAGGAGCAAACATGACGCCTGTTTGGTGAGCGGTGACATGGGACTGACAGGCTGCAGACTGTACAAACATGCAGACCAGCCCAAGAAGAAAACCACCTCAGGTAATTCTGAATGAAAATCTCACCGAGTTGTATAAGGTTCATGGTTGTTTCATTAGCAACTAGCTGTCACTCATCTGACATAGGAAAGCAGGAATGCGCCTGAAACCCTGACATTATATGTACCTCATTTAAGACATCTGGGTCTGTTTCCTAAAAACAGCCTCCAAGTTCTCAAGACCTCAAAAGAGTTTTTTGAGTGTTGGGCCCCTTCCTCTCCAGAGTGGGATGACCCGTGTGACTAAGAAGCACCATGTCATTCAAGGACGAACAAAGACTAACGGTCCCCCAAAGACTACATGGTGTGTTTGTGTGTATGTATGTGTGATGTAGTGTGTGTGTATGTGTGGTGTGTGTGGGTATGTGGTGTGTGTGTGAGTATGTGGTGTGGTGTGTGTGTGTG